AAAGCAATACAAGTCCACGATCAAATCATACTAAAGTCTCGAACCACATGAGTTATTCCGAAATTCTGAAAAATCAAAACAACGGTGGACACAATGCAACAGAAATAAAATCAACACTGCTAGTTAAAAAATGATTAACATGTTACGCATTGCCGAATGGAATGCCAACGGTATTCTAAACCATCAAAATGAATTAAAAACTTCTCACATCTACAAATGATCGATATTCTTTTAATAAGTGAAACTTGGCAGTTAAAAATAACTTTGATCTCTTCACGGATCATACACCAATAATATCAACATTGTGTTCATGTATATTAAATAAGCAAGTAATCAACAATCTATATAATTGTAAGATGGATTGGGATGCATTTGTAACTGAAATTGATTCAAACATAAATACGACTTGAAACTGCAGAGATCATCGACAATAGCCTAAACAATGCAGTTACAAAATCTACCCCCACAATACATGAACAAAACAAAACTAACTATGATATCCCCTCAGAAATAAAACGCCAAATAAAACAAAAACGTAAAGCAAGGAAAAAATGGCAATACACGCAAAATCCTAAGGATAAAATGATCTTTAATAACCTGACAAATTTCCTCAAAAAGAAACTAAAGGATTTAAGGGACAATGACATTACGCACTATATTTCAAACTTAAGCAGGTACGACAAAGCAATATGGAAACCCACTAAGTCTACTAGACATCAAACATTCCACAATGCACCTATAAGAATGGACAGCGCAAGCGATTGGGCAAAAAGCAACAAAGAGAAAGCGGCATTAATCGCGAACTATTTAAAAACTGTTTTTTCTTCTGCTAATAATCAACCCGACCAAGAAGTTAACGCCACACTTATGATAGACAACAAAAATAAAAGTGGAATAATGAAAACTACTCCCAAAAAAGTTAAAAACTACATAATGCTTACTAAAAACAAAAAAGCATACATATTTAATGCAATCCTTAGAACAACATATTGGACAAAATGCTTTAAAATTTCTATAATTATTATAATCCTTAAACCAATGAATTCGCCGACTGAAGCTACATCGTACAGACCAATCAGCCTAATGCCAATCCTTTCAAAAATAATTCTAAGCAGAATAAACGAAAAGTTTTCGGTAATTCCAGACCACCAGATTGGTTTCAGACCTCAACACTTAACAATCCACCAAGAATACTGGGTCATTAACAATATACATATGGCATTGCAGAATAAAAAATATTGCTTATTGATATCGAAAAAGCATTCGACAATGTTTGGCACCACGGTTTGATCTACAAAATAAATCAATGTCTATCGCATGAACAATCATCTTTACTGGAGTCCTACTTATCTAACAGATATTTCAGGGTCAGAGTGCAGAATAAATCATCTGATATAGAAACAATAAAAGCTGGTGTACCTCAGCGTAGCGTACTCGGACCAATCCTGTACTTAATCTACACTAACGATATACCATCTGATCCCCAAATAACCCTTGAAACATTTGCAGATGACAACTATGGTTTTATCAACTCATGAAGACGCTACAAAGGCCTCGGAACACAAACACTAACTAAAAAAGTGGACTCATAAATGAAAAATTTCTAATAACTCAACTAAGTCAGTCCACATCACCTTTACCAAAATAAAAGGAGATTGCCCAAATATAAAAATCAACAATGTAGAAATTCCAAACTCCGTAAAGCACTTAGGACTGATGGAGTACCCACAGCAGGGCAAAGCGTAAGCAAATAGACAAAAAGTTTCGTGAAGTCTACTGGGTAATTGGAAGAAGCTCTAAAATGTCATATGAGAACAAGATCCTAATATATAAAGCTGTAACAGTACCAATTCTTCATTCTACCATGTAATGGGGTATGAAAGATTAACCCTCCTAAGCTATTATTCGGATTTTCATAAATCTTTCTGAAGTTTGTTAAGGAAATTTTCTAAGATTTTTTGATTCATAGAAATATAGTTAGATTGTAGAAATAAATGGAAACTAGTGGGGCGCATGGCATCGTGCCTTAGGGCAAATTGCTGGAACTTTCCGTACCAAAAACTATTATTTTTTTAAAAACGATTAACATTTTTGAAAAAATTTTACTTCGAAAAAATTAGACTTTTGAGAAACTATAAATTTGACAAAAAATTACTTTTTTTTGAAAAAAACAATTTTTTTTTTCGAAAAAAAAATTTTTTTGAAAAGAAAAATGTTTTCTTCATTTTGACATATTTTGGAAAATCTGAACTTTTTTTCAAAGCAATCGTACTGCTTGAACTGCATAGAGACGAAATGTTAAAGTGCGCGAGTGCCGCGCCGCCGTCTAACGCATAAGCATTGGTACGGAACCCATAGGAATGTAAACAAAATTTATACTTATTGTTAAAATCTCTATAAAATATCTGATAATTTGATGTGCGTATGTCTAATGATCATTTTTGACAGCCAAATGGCATTTTTTTTTTTTTAGTTTTTTCTTAGATCTCCGAAACCGCTAGACCTGCATTGGTACGGAACCCATAGGAATGTAAACAAAATTTATACTTATTGTTAAAATCTCTATAAAATATCTGATAATTTGATGTGCGTATGTCTAATGATCATTTTTGACAGCCAAATGGCATTTTTTTTTTTAGTTTTTTCTTAGATCTCCGAAACCGCTAGACCTGCCCTCATGAAAATTTGATCAATTCTTCATCTTGTCAATACAAGTAAAATGTTTTTTGAATTATTCAAATCGGACGCTCCGTTCTCTTAAAAACTAAGTTACCGTTTTCGGCAATTTTTGTCCCGTATCTTCGGAACGGCTAGACCTGCCTTCGCCAAAAACTAATCAGCACGTCTCCTTATCAATACGAATCGAATGTTTTTTGAATTATTCAAATCGGTTGATCCGTGTTCCCGAAATGGTCGACGAAAATTTGTATCCGCACATACATACACACACACACATACATCCATTTTTTCTAAGGTATGCCAAAATGTTCAGAAACCTTTGAAACGTAAAGATATATAAAAAATTTCATTTTTGATTTTTTTGCGATTACTATAACTTGCCCTACGGGAAGTTAATAAAGAACAAGATTTAAAAAACGGCTGATATCGATCAGCTTATATAAAAAAGCAGTGCCAAATTTTTCATTAAAGTTTTCAAGTAAATTAGTTTTTCTGTTTAACTATTATTTGTTTTCATTTTGTATTAATATTTATATACGCTTATAATATACACTCGTAATTATATAAAATATATACTTTTTTCAACTTTGTATGTTTGTTCTCTTTGTGTTGCAATTTTGTAATTTTGTTTCAATTACATTATTTCCGCGCTCAGTCAATGAATCTTTTTGACTTAATATTCTTTCAGACTTTTGAGTATATAAAAAATCTCCAATTTTATTCAAAAAGAAAAATCAATTTATTTTTTCATGGGTCGTACAACCGTAACAATTTTTTAAAATTTTGTTCTTTATTTTAATTTTTTAATGCGGAATGGAAATTTAATATTAAAATCTGAAGATGTGGGTACAGGACAACTATAGATATATATATATATATATATATATATATATATGCGTGTGTATATATATATATATATATACATATTGATTATTTAAACTAAAGAAATCTTGGACGTCTGCAATTATCTACATTTTTAAAAAAATATTTTTTAAAACAGCGACTGCTGACAAATAGTGCTACATTGCAATTTATAATTACTTGTTATTTGCCATTATCATTATTATGTGCTAGTTCTCTTCTAGAAAGTTCATGTCCATTGAAGATATAGAACTTTATGTCAATATGTATCAAATAATAAAGATATTTTAAAAATTTTACTTTTTCTTTTTTACTATTATTTGTTACGCCCTTAAATTTAATCATATATTTCAACATCAAAATTAATTACTCTTAACACACACACACAGATATATATATATATATATATATATATATATATACATATATATATATACATATATATATATATATATTTATTTGAAATAAATTTGCAGCGCATTCATTGAATTTAAATAAAGGTTAAATATAATAACATTTTTTTATTAAATTATATGTTATGACACTTGCTGTGTCATTATTCAGCAAATCCAAAACATTATTGCAATGAATACAAATATTCGAATATTATCTTGCTTAATAGACAAAAGAAGGATGCTTATCACAATACCAAAACAAAAGACACATAAATCTTCAGCACAGCATCGATTTCCTAAACCCAACAATGTTACCTTTTGAAACTAATATATGTAAAAGGGTATTTAGTGAGGGTTGTCTAATATTGACCAGTTTCCAAACAGCATTAAAATAGAATGAAGCGTTTCGCTTTTATTACTTTCCGAAACCATATGTTCTACTACACTTTAGTAGAGTGTAGTGTTAATTTTTGTTATTTATTTCTTATCTTTCTTTTAAGTTAATTAGAAAAATTTTCTAGTTGTTCCACTGAATGGCGATATCTACATTTCTTTTACTTGTGTTTCTGAACTTGGTGCTAATGCCCAAATCAACACTCATTATATATATATATATATATATATATATATATATATATATATATATATATAGTCTAAGTGACAAAGTCTAAGTAATGATCGAGCATACCATCAATAAATAAAAATCTTTTAACAATTTATTTTACAATCCATCTGATCAGACTATAATCTTAGCATCCTAGCCTTCATTCAGTAGAAAACTTTGAGGGAGAAACGTAGAAACAGAAAATTTAATTATCAAGATATGGTAATGCACTAAACTATGTAGTATAAACATTAAATTTCTAAGTGTAGGTACATGTTTATATATATATATATATATATATATATATATATATATATATTAGTCTGTGAAATTTTTTTTATCAAATTGATTTCATTCGCAAGGTGTCAATTTTCAATTAGATTTATCCATTCACTAACAAATCTTGAGCTAAAATAGAGCAAATATTTAAATATTTTATATATTGTATGATAACCACTTACATTTGTTCAGATTTAAACTATAACGATTAGTTTAGGAATAAATATCACAAAACTAAAAAAAAAACTTGTTTCACAGAGCAGTAACAACCTTCACATCAACAATTAATGACAACTAATAATCAACATGCCAAATAAATGATATTTAAGAGTTTTACCAACATTACAATTTACAAATTCTATATGATTCCACAGATGAAACAAATATTGTAGATAGCCAACTGCATAAAGTGTTCGTGGTGATGATTTAAAATCTGGCGAAGTTTATATAGGGGTGCCTGCATCAACACTCATCACATACATATGAAATGCATATGAATATAAAATAATATTATTTAAATTGACAAGAAATAGTGTAGCGGCGATAGATAAATAAGCAAAGTAGCAGCGTTGTTGTAAATTATTATTGTTACTATCAGTTAACTAGTAACTTTCCAATTTACATTCCACTGAAGATGACATAAGATTATATGTCGCAAATGTGTCGAAATATATCGGAAATAATAAAAATATTATACTTTTGTACAATTATTAACTTTCCGTAGGGTAAGTTATAGTAATTGCAAAAAAATCAAAAATAATTTTTTTTTATATATCTTTTATATATCCTAAAGATATTATACTTTTGTACAATTTTTAACTACACGTAGAGTAAGTTATAGTGATTGCAAAAAAACGAAAATGAAAATATGTTTATATCTTTACGTTTAAGAGGTTTTTGAACAGTTTGGCATACCTTAGAAAATATAGATGTATACTTTTCTTTTCTCTATGGATGTATGTGTGTGAGTGTGTGTGTGCGGGGCTGTGTGTGCGGATACAAATTTTCGTCGACGATTTCGGAAACACGGATCAACCTGTTTGAATAATTCAAGAAATATTTGATTCGTATTGACGAGAAGACGTGCTGATTAGTTTTTGGCGAATGCAAGTCTAGCCGTTTTGAAGATACGGGACAAAAAAGCCAAAAATGGTAATTTAGTATTTGAGAGAACGGAGCATCCAATTTGATTACTCTAAAAACACATTTCATTTGTATTAACAAAATGAAGTACCGTTTAAATTTTTGAGAAAGCAGGTCTAGCGGTTTCAGAGATCCAGTAAAAAAAGTGAAAAAAACATTTGGCGGTCAAAAACAATTATTAGAAATATGAGTTTCAAATATTAACTATGAATTTTGTTTACATTTCTATGAGTTCGGTACCAATGTTTATTTGTTAGACTCGGATTCCACGCTTACGCGCTTGAAAAAAAGTTCAAAATTTTCAGAAAAATTCATAATATGACAAAAATTTTAAATACATATACAAAAAATGAAATTTTTCAAAAGAGGCATCTTTTTCAACAATTTCCAATTTCTCAAAAATCTTACTTTTTTCAAAGTTTTCAAAAAATTTCGGAGGTTTTCTAAAAATTTTAATTTTTGGTACGAAAAGTTTCAGTAATTTGGCTAAAGGCACGATGCTATACACTACTAGTTTGAATATTAAATCCAAACGATCTATTGGATCTGAATAATATTAGTGAATTTCTATACTTTTTATACGCACCTGTTCAAACTAGCTCGGGTAATGGACCTCTTATGCTTATTTATCTATGATGGACCCAGACCCAATCATAGATAAAAGAAGAGTATATAGATCGCTCTCTCGGGGCATATTTCGTTGCCACGTTAACTGTCAACTTGCCGGGGTTAGTTCGAGCTGCTCTCCCTTGGTGCGCACGCGTCGATCGTAGAACGGGTGCGTACAAAAAATACTAAAGAAATGCACCAATATTATAGACCGTTTGAATTCAAAATTAAAAAAAAAAAGAAATTGAATTTTAAAAAGCATTTATTTTTAACAATAGTATTTTACACACATGGTTACAAAATATAATATTCATCCTTATAAGCTAAACACAAAAGAAATAAAAATGTATATATATATATATATATATATATATATATATATATAGGTATATTTATTTATATTTTTAGAGCAAAGATTACTTATAATTACAATTAGATTAAGATAAATAATTTAAACACATCTCATAATTCGATCTCAATAATAAATAAATCAAAAAATTTGAGAAACTATTAGATATCTTTCATTATTCGCAAAAATTTGAGAAGCTATCAGATCTCTTTCATTATTCGCAAAAGCAACCAAATTTCTAGAAACTAAAAAGAGAAAAATAATTATATTCATATAAAAAGTAAAAAATATATATAAATTTAAAAATCATTTGCAAAATTAATGCATACGATAATCTTCTCAAGCAACTCAGTTTATATTTTTTTCGAATAATGCTAATTAACAATTAAGTTACGGTTTTGTTTCTGTTAATATTTTCTACGACTAGTGTTGATGTTCATTTGAATGTCGAACAAAATGTCATTATCATCATTAACATAAAAAAAGGAAATTTTCTTCCATTTGACAGTCCTGTCAATCTGTACAATGTGATTATCTTTACGATCATTAAACAACGCAGATAATAATATTTCTGTGTAATATCAAAATGCAACTATCACTACTCACAAACTTTTCGTGGAACATAGCCAAACCTAAATTACCCCTTAGCTAGAATTTTATCATTAAGCATGAATTTCCTTCCATTTAATAATTCAGTATCTTCTCTTAGCCGACTTAATATATCATTATGAATACTATTATTCAATGCCAGTGGGAGATCAGCAAATATTTCAGCATGTTTCAGACTGGCTTGTAATTTCTTTATTAATGTTTTTCCCTGTTTATTCGTCTCATATCAATACTTGTGTTTAGTAAACCCTACAGAGTTTTGTTCGGAGATTACCGGCCATGGACCCAATGATCACGCTTGGCAACAAAATATGGCTCGAGGGACCGATCTATATACGCATTTTTATCTATGCCAATAGTATTTTGTCTAAACAACAAGCTGTCAGTGTTAAAACAAATTGACGTAAGTTTATCAAAATATTCAACCTTAAAAATCTATTTTTTTTTTGTAAAATACTTGGGTTGTAGGTGTCAGCTGCAAAGACAACTAATAAAATGGATACGATTCCGCATGTCGATATTGAAAAGGATGGTGTTTTTAAATATATATTAATAAAAATATCTGATTCACACGATACTAAGGTTCTTGTGAGAGGTTACTTGAGATCTGAATGGCATGGTTAGTTAAATAAGTTTTAAGCATTTTGAAATGTTCCTGATCATTGGTTTACTTTTTTATATTACCCATATTATATTACTTATTTACATTTTTTCTTAACTTGAACCAATTAGCATATCTACATATCACCTCAGAATTTTGGTTTTTCGGTTATCATATTAAATAGAAATATGTTCTAGAAACCTGGTGAAGTCTAATAATAAGTAAGGGTAAATAGTTCTAATAAGAATAATGTATTCATAAACCTCTAAAATCTATAAAGGTTATAAAATCTTGATATTTATTACCTTTAGATGCAAACATGATGAGCAATTTTCTGTCAAGTGATTTTCAGCGCATTTAACGCATAGGGCATATCTTTGTCAGCGAGTGCATTGAACAATTTCTCTAGAGATCCTCATTGCCTCTATTTCTACTTTAATTTTTCTATAAATAATTCATTTTATAAAAATCTTTTTTATTAGGTTATTACTCAAGCTCAAATAAAAACATATTCTGAGGGAATTTTGAGATTCTACTTTTTATGTTGTCAATGCGAACTTTGTGACCTAACTGTGGAATTTCATCATTGATCAATACTGTATCCATGCTGAAATGTAGTTTTTTAACTACTATTTTAAAAGTTCTTTTACTGAAAACAGTGCATTTGAATACCTCACTCTTTTTGAGTTTTACAAATTTTGTTGTATAGTTTGGTATTACCAAGATTCACCTTAACTTTAGTTTTGTCAATATCTTTTATATGATGAAGATTATATTATTAACTTATCTTCACAAGTTAAGATAATGGTTTGATATCACATTTCTTTTGTGTAAAGATTGGCGCGGTTTGTTAAGTGGAATGTATATATATATACAGTGGCGTAGGAACCGCGTGGGCTGTGTATATATTTATATATATATATATATATATATATATATAAAGCGAGAGGTTTTTCTTCAGATGGTGAAATAATATAATAAAATTGTTTCTTGGGCATCCATCCAGTAATTAAAAAACAGTTTTAATGAAAAATGTTTTTATTTATAGAGAACATACGTTTCGGGTCTGGATTTGACCCATCTTCAGTGCATACAAATAAACTTTGAAAAACAACACAAAAACACAAAATTGCACGAAAAATAAATAAAAGTGAAATAAAAAATTGATGAAACGTCGAGTTATGAAAATTTTTAAAAAAATTGTAAAATTAAAATGAATGAAATATTTTATTATAAAAAAGCTTATTCCAAACGAACATGTTGTTAGTTTGGAAGTTGTATTACGAGTGTCAACTCGTGTGTTACGAGTGACACTCGTAATACAACTTCCAAACTAACAACATGTTCGTTTGGAATAAGCTTTTTTATAATAAAATATTTCATTCATTTTAATTTTACAATTTTTTTAAAAATTTTCATAACTCGACGTTTCATCAATTTTTTATTTCACTTTTATTTATTTTTCGTGCAATTTTGTGTTTTTGTGTTGTTTTCCAAAGTTTATTTGTATGCACTGAAGATGAGTCAAATCCAGACCCGAAACGTATGTTCTCTATAAATAAAAACATTTTTCATTAAAACTGTTTTTTAATTACTGGATGGATGCCCAAGAAACAATTTTATTATATATATATATATATATATATATATATATACAGTAGAATCCGCTTAGTACGACATTCAAGGGACGGCGAAAAATCGTCATATTAAGCGGTTGTCATACTAAGCGTACTGAAAAAAAAAACAATTTTTGGCGAATATGTTATTAATTTCAGTAATTTAATACAAAAATTAAGGTAAAAAATGACACATACTAACAAATTGACAAATTTAATTAAAAATATGACATAACAATGCATTTTTTAATGTAAAAAATCTGTAATTTTTGTTTGAGTTTTAATTACTGGGTAAAAATAGTAAAAAATATAGAACTTTACTAATTCAGTAAATTATAGCAGATGTTATCGCTTCCAAATTTTGAACACCAAGAATGAGCCTACTTATTTTTTGCACGAGGTCGTCCATGCCGGAAGTTGCCAAAGTTTCCATAGCGCGAATCTCGTGCAACATAGAGACCTGTGGGTATGTGGGTAGGTATGTAGCGACCTGACACACAAGGGTAGTTCACAGTGGTGCCATACCATAACAATGTGCAATGAAAAACATGAACTCTATGTTATCGGAGGTGTAAAATCATGTCGGTCATTATACTTGGACCAAATTTTTTTTCAAAAATGGGTCATTATGAGCGAAATGTCAATGTAAGCGAGGTCAACATATCCGACTAGACAGCTGTTTTTTTAAGAAATTTTATATGGAAACCAAACTGCCTTTAAAATTACGTCATAATAAGCGGTTGTCAATATATCCGGCGTCATACTAATCGGATTCTACTGTATATATATATATATATATATATATATATATCCACAGGTATGCATTGTTTGCAAGATTTTTTTTTATATCACCTCTATAAAAAATCACATGTAGTTGGACCATGTAAAAGGACCCACCGAACCTTTACGTTGGCAAAAGGTGTAAAAAATAAGATTATAGTAAATAAATAAAGTAAATTTATAAATATTGCTGATAGGTGTTGGTTTTAGCTAGTATTCTAAATTCGTATCTGTTTTTTTACATGTTGATTTCTTGTTTTTATTTTCTTTACATTTTTTATTTCAAACTTCAATCCAGTCTGAATCCTTACTTGTGGTTGGTTTATCTTGATCGAAATCATTTTGAAATTGATGTTCTTTTGTTGTGAAGAATATTATTCAAGGTTTTCCTTACTCTCTTATACTTACTTAGCACTCGATTCGACCTTTGTTTGTTTTATTTGGGTAGCATTATAAATCCATTTCTTCAGTACTCGTATTTGAAATTTGTGACATTTTTAAATAAAGATTATTAATTATCTCTTGGGGAATATTTCAATAATATGTACTTACACAGGAATATTACTATTGGAATTTACATATCAAAATCACAAAATTTCTTGAAGCTATTTGCAAATTAAATAAATATAATATTTCACAGTCAATATGAATTATTAACTTTTGTTTTTGAAAAATGCCTAATAATAAAATTAAAAGAGAATAATGATGTAATTACTATAATAATTCGTACTTTATAAGGGTTTGTTGTAAGAGGTTGAAACTTTTTGTATTCGCATTGAAAAAAAATTACGAAAATCATTTTTTAAAAAAGTCTTCGGTAAGGCTAATCCCTACCAATTGATTTCAAAGAAAATATGCGAAAACTTTTCCGAAGATATACCTAGCAGTTTCTCAAATTTTCACGGCGATTGGATGTATGGTTTATGTATGCATAACAATTACACAGACTTACATCCATTTTTATAATATTCTTCGAATTTTAGAATTTTTAACTTTATTATTATCACTATTGTTATTCTAATACAATTTTAATTGTAAATGAATTTGACGTAAAACAATTATTTATTTCAGCTGATATTTTTGATGAAGTTCAAGAGAAGTTATCGCCACTAGGTTATCAAATTAAATGTTTAGGAGGGGGTAGGATTCGGCATGATTCTAAAAAAAAGAAAATTGAAGTGTATGGATATTCGCAGGTAAAGTTGTGATTTGGTTGTGTTTCTTTACGGTTGGCTTTTAAAGCAAAATCGGCAATCAACATTATGAATTGTCGAGTGTAATGATGAACTAATCGAATTTATAAGGATATTACCCACAAAACTTATAAGAACAGACAACTCTACGATTACATCTGGTATTTTGATAAAACTTTTGATTGTGATTGAGTTGATATTCGAAACGAACCATTGAAAGTAATTATAACTTAAGCCTGTGAGAAGTAGTTTAATTATAAAAAATAACGAAAGTTGCAACACCTATGTGTACGAATTGCGTGCACATATTATTATTATGCATATATTTCATAATTTTTAATAATATTCATATGATTCGGCAGTTCACTTTGTTTTGGCTACATATTCTTACTTTTTACGTTTGGAGAAAGTAGATAAGGGAGTTACAAATGATCAGTTTTCAAATCCCATGAGCGTATAATTACTTTTTTAATTTTATGGTTTGTATAGTTGAATGTTGCAAAAAATATTTAGAATTATCATCTTATTGCAAATAATTCGCAAACAAAAATTTATATTTTTTTTGCATATATATTTATTTTGAATATATATTTACATATATATTCCGATCAAAATAATATAATTCCAGATATATATGGTATGTATATTTAGTTTTGTTTTTATCCTTAGGGTTTTGGAAAAGCTGACCATGAGCAAAGCGTAGAATTGCTTAAACAGAAATATCCTGAATACGACATTAGCTGGTCCGACGACGGTTACTGAATAACTTCATCTACTACAATATATACCCAATAATTTATGAACATATTCAGCTCGTTACTTATGATTATGGTCTTTTATATAAATTATGTATTGGCTTGTTGAGTAAAGAAATAAGAAGCACTGTATATTTTTATAAATATTCTTTTAAGTAGACTTGATCTAATATAAGCCATGGCATATACAAATAATCAAGATTCATTTAACAATTAATGAAATAACTCGAAATGTAAATACTGGAAACAATATTCTATTAAGAATAAATTCCTCATTAAGACTTGTTTAATTTATAATTTTATAATTATTGTCCAAATATCATTATTTATTTTGAAATTGTTGTTTTTTTTAAGTTTTCTGTCCTTTTTCAGCGCTGTTTATTATGTTTTTTAATGGAAGTCAATATCAATTGATATTGTAAAATAATTTTATTTTATCAATTATATAGTTTATATTAAAGCTGCCCAGTAAGCATGCAGCATCAGAACAATGTTTTATTTAAAATGTTTCTTGTTTTTATTGTCCAAATATTAATAAATACTTCGAAATTGCTTTTCCTTAATATTAGGTATATCTCGTTGTGCACCCATGTGTATCGATTTTATGCATTATCAATGGTTTATATGTATATATATATAGTGGTGCCTCGTCATACGAACATAATTCGTTCAAATCCAAGCTTGTATTTTGAATTACTCACATCTCGAATCAATTTCTTCCATTAATTACCCTAAAATTCCATTAGTTTTGAATAATTAAAATAAATTTATTATTTTAATGTTTTTTTCTATCCATAATTGACATTGCGGAAATTAGTTAGACATGTTTCATTGAACAACTCTCATGCTCGAATTGTTGCAACTTTTTTGAGGTGATTTTTATGCATAAATTTTTATTTTTTAACTTCCTAAGAAAAGAGAAGTTTGTTTTCATCAAAAAAGTCGTTTCGCTAATTTTATGTTTTCTCTACGTTTCAAGCCATTCTGAATCGAATGAGACCAAATTTGGAAATGCATTTATGCATATTTATCCCAGACTGGTCTTTTGTCTGGGTATGTCGGGCTCAACACCGCCTGGGTATAATACCTAAAACGCTTTGCCCTTGCCTCTGGTCCCCACGGAAAACGCCGTTAGGCATTAATTCGTGGAGGGACGATTTAGAATGTTATCAATCTTGCACTGATTTTATACTTATCTACCCATTCGCTTTTTTTCTTTCCATTGATTGCAGGTCCATTAAAACGTCTCTCGCAAATCTGGCGTTCCAAGCAGCCTCTGTTGTCAGCATCACTTCTACAACAGTATCGGGAGTAATTTTTCGCCTCTATATCTTTTCTACATCGTCCCGTAGAGCACTTAGTCGCGATCACATGAAGAGCACGTACTCAGCATCTTCGACTTCACCTAAACAATATGGGCAAACCCGCGAGCTATCGTGCTTGAAGCAGTGTATGTAGGCTCGAAAACAGCCGTGCTTGCGATTTAGCCAGACTTTGATGTTTGGAATAAAACGATGCGTCCATCTGCCTTTCACTACGACATCCCACAGTTGCCGCCATCGGTCAATGCTATTCTATTCTGGCGTGCTCCTATTGTCTACTTTTCAGGGCTCAGTTGTTGACGTTATTTGTTGGTGAATTGACTGTCTTTCTTCTGCTAAGACTAAGAGAGGCAGAGTTTCTGAAATAATGCACACTGCTTCTTTAGATATTGTGCAAAATGCGCAAGATGGACACATGCTGGAATTTCCAGTCTCAAAAAGTCATCATACATAATATTCCACAGCAAAGAACCTAAAACAGAGCCCTGCGGCACACCTCCTGCTATATTATATTCTCCTGTACCATCGCGTGAATCGTACATCAGAATCCTGTCTGTAAAGTAGCTTGCGACTATATTGAAGAGGTATACTGGCACTTGTGGAAACCCTCCTTCTTTATAGGCATTAAGAAACATTGTCGCGAAGATATCATAATTTATGTTTTTAAGGCGATATTAGGAATTCCATCTAATCCCGGTGCCTTACTACTTCCAACCCGATGACAAGCTTCTATCAGTTCTTGCAGTGCTATAAGTAGAATAATATTTAGGTCTGCATGTGTTTCCTGATAGTTTAAATTAGGTTGCCATGGGAACAAAGTAGTTACTTTTCTATTCAATAGCAGTGAGCGAATTGGTGAAGACATTGGCTGGCTTTCGAGGCGAGACATTACAATCTTATAAGGCCTTCCCCATGGGTTTTACTTGACTTCATCCAGAAGTCCTTTCCAGCATCTAACTTTATACTACCTTTGATAGCTTTACTTAGTTGCCGACATGGCTATTTGTTTCCACTACCAGTTGTGCAGAATTTGTGAGACTATAACCTCGCTTAGATATCCTTCTTTTCCTATGACACTCTTCACGAAGAAACCTGATTTCCTCGTTTCACCAGTGCACAGATTGTCTTTGATTTATGCCATGCTGCATGACTGAGCCCACCCATCAATCTGAAAATATGAGATTGTCTACGCAATGTATTTCGTCAAAATATTTTATTTTCCACCCAATGGCTTTAGACAATTTAACAGGTCTTCTAATGTTTCTATTCGTTGATATTTTCCAGATGATCGCATTGTGGTCACTAGCAGTATAGATACTTATTACCAACCAATTGCAATTTTCTCTGACGAGGCTATTCCTAAGAAAGTAAAATGACATCAAGTGCAGTGAAAGCCTTTAAAAGTGCTTTACCTCTTGCACTAGTCTTCTTACTACCCCAGTCTACCGCCTATGCGTTGAATTCACCGGCTATCGCTACGTGGTGGTGTTATTTTGCATCCTCTCTACTAGACGATCTAAGAAATCAATAAAATCTGGCAAAGCAAGACTATAGGTGGTGCGTAACAGCTGTATAAATGTATGTCATCTTATGATGCTGCTACAAATCTAGCGTTGCTGTTGTTAACGGTTTCTGAAAACAAAATTTGCCACAGAACCAAATAACAGCTTTGGTGGTACTGTCCATTTCCAATGGCCTATCAGTTAGTTGTTTTTACGGTTCTGATAAGAGGGCAATATCAATTTTCATTTCATTTCCCTTACCGCCTGCATAAGTATAAGTTGTGTGCAGTCTCACAATGATTCATGTTTAGCTACATTATCTTCATGTTTCTATGTTTATTATTTTCTCCAAGGCTTCCCTATATAGAGGACATCTGTGAGTGCCAGCATGATGGGCTACATTCTCAGTGTTTCCATTTCCAGCGCGTAGTGCACATTTTGCTGCATTTATACAGTTGGCTATTTAGTGATCTTCTTGTCCACATCAAATGCATAAATTGTTCCGATTCACTTTGCTTTTGCACTGTGCTCCATAATGTCCAAATAACCAGCATTTAGAGCATCGGATTGGTTTCTTGATGGTTTTAATTCGACAGTTGACCTATCCAATTCGTATTTTGCTACTTGCTCTGAGCAGATCGTGTACAATTGCCGCTGGTAGAGCTACAGTAGCAATCTGGGTTGCAGACTCCTCGGGTTACTTTTTGTAGTGCAGGCTGGATATCAATATTTGAGGTTTCATCATCAATATTCCTTGTTCCTATAATTTCTTGGTGAATTTTATAGATTACTTCGGCCTCATTCTTTAACACGCCTGCAATAATGGATGTTTTTTTTTTTGTATAGCGAAGGAAATGCCTTTATGCATCCCAGACCGGTCTTCTGTCTGGGTATGTCAGACTCGATACCGCCCTGGTACAATACCGACTAAAACCTCCGCTTTGCCCTTGCCTCTGGTCCCCACGGAAACCGCCGTTAGGCATTACTTCGTGGGGGGAGGATCTAGAATAATATAAATTCTTAACTTGATATAATCAATGTTATAATTCATAAACATCATACTTATCTTTTAAATGGGCGAAGTCCCATTTGCCCTTTCTCTCTCTATAGAACGCAGGATGTATGCAATAATGGATGTATGTATGTGTGTGTGTGTGATACAAATTTGCGTCGACAATTTTGGGAATACGGATCAACCGATTTGAATGATTCAAAAAACATTCGATTCCTAGGAGACGTACTCATTAGTTTTCGGACAAAGCAGGTCCTGCCCTTTTGAAGCTATGGGGCAAAAAGTTTAAAAAATAGTAACTCAGTTTTTGGAAGAACGGATCGTCCGATTTCAAAACACATTTTACTTGTATTGACAAAATGAAGAAATGGTTAAATTTTTGAAAAGGCAGGCCTAGCAGCCTAGATAAATAAACATAAAGCAGTTTCAAATATCGAGTAAAAAAAGTGAAAAAAATTGCCATTTGGAGGCCAAAAATGATTATTTGCGTTACACGTTATATAGTTTTTAATAATGAGCACAAATTTTGTTTACATTTCTTTGGGTTTCGCACTAATGTCTTTCCGTTAGACTGCGACGCGGCGCTTTCGCGTTTCGATATTTATTCTATAAAACGGCCACGCTGCACGATTGCTTTGAAAAAAGTTCAAAGAATTTCAAAATCTAAAAAAAATCAAAATTAAAAAAAAATCAAAAAAGTCATTTTTTTCAAACTTCAAAATTTTCTCACTTTTTAAAGTTTTCAACAAATTTTTAAAGCTTTTTAAAAACAATTTTTTTCGATACGGGACGTACCAGCAATTTGCATTTGCCGTGCACCACTATAGTAATTTGCTAAGCTTTTTCAGAGTATGTATTTGATCTTAGCAATCATTTTTTTTTATCAAAAATGATTGTGCTGGAACGAATTAACGGCATTACAATGTATTTGTATTAAAAAAATTTCTTCGAGACACAAGCAATTCGGCATGCGAGTGTGGTTACGGAACGAATTCAGCTCGTAAGGCGGAGTACCATATATATAATATAACATAATATTATATATATATATATATTATATACATACTAAAATATGTATATATATACATGTATATTATATGTATGTGTGTTTGAGTATATGAATGATGTTTATTTTCATATATTAGTAAATTGCTGAACATGTCTTTTTGTAAATATTATTTCAAACCGGAAACGTTTAAGGTTATGTTTTGGTTCCACATCATTTTCTATCATTCGGTTTGACGTACTCTTACCTTTGTAAGAGTATTTAGGTTGTAGTATTAATTATTTATGTAAAAATGAATTTGCCGGAACAATATATATCAAATGCAGAGGATATTGCAGATCAGGTAAATTATTTTCATTATTTAACCATTATGCTTTCGTACACATATATATTTATAACTTATTTTGTTAAAATTAATATATTTTGACAGACACGTCATCTGACGTATATTCTGCTTCGCATTTTGCACCGAACAAATTTTGAAATATAAAATATATTATGTATTTAACATTTTTTTCTATAACACTAATAAATTAAAGTGATTTGGTTATTTGCATTTAATTTTAAGTCGTTTGTGTGAAGTATGTTATAACCACAGTTATGTATTTATGCATTGTTATAGCATATATATTATATTTTTCCAATTCTACATTTTATAATAGTGTACATTAAGTAACATCGACAAGTATTTTCTTAATTTTCTTTCTCCTGAATATAAAGAATAGCTTTTTCATATAAATTTCTTAATAGTACAAGAAATAATTTTGTTCATGAATGAAAAATGACTGTAAAATTCTATTTATTTCTAGATATTAAGAAAGGGTAAACATGTTTTACCATCTGTTGCCCGTTTATGCCTAATCTCAACATTTTTGGAAGATGGTATTCGAATGTGGACACAATGGTCAGAACAAAGAGAGTATATGGATATGTCATGGGGTTGTGGCAGGTAATTTAATAATATATTAGTTGAAATGAACACTCTTCTTATAGAATAAAATTGATTGCCTTTTGCCAATAATAAAATGTAATTGCTTTGCAGATTTTTAGCTACCATTTTTGTACTGATTAATCTAGTAGGACAAATTGGAGGTTGTGTTATGGTTTTAGCTAGGTATAAGGTAACAATTGCTTGTGGAATCCTTTTCTTCATTGTTGTATTGCAGGTAATAATTTTATTAATAGTATATTGTGTTCAGTTATTTTTTTAAATAATATAAATATATTGCATTGGCATCATGTTAATTTATATATTACATCGGTTTAGTACCAAGTGTGTGCTGCTGTTGTTTTTTCAATTAGTCATGTGCCAGCACATAGCTTCCATGTACAGTAGAACCTTGATTAACCGGACTAATTATTGTCGATAGGCATCCGGATAATCCATTTATGAAGAATAATGATGTGTACTTATCAAAAATAACAAATACATACATAGATATCAACAAAAATCAATGTTTAATAAGAAATTAACATTTCCTTATGTATGTACATATATATTTTCTTACATTATATTACATACATATACTAAGCTGCAGCATAAATCGTGCAAAAATTTGAATTGTAGGTATGTACATACATATAACTCTGTCGCGGTTTGTAGTCCGGATAATCGCGAATCCTTATAACTGAGGTCCAGATAATTGAGGTTCTACTGTATTTATATTCCTAAGCAAAGTGATTATTGAAATAAGTTTTAAACTCAATTTGTTATCCAGTGAAAATGAATAAGAACTTACTAAATAACAGTACGAAGAGCGCATGTTAATGAAGACTTGTCACTAAAAATTCTTGTTAACATAGAATATTTTCAAAAAAAAAGTAAATATATATATATACATATGTAATCATTAGATTTTTTTGTTGATTGATTTTCAGCCAATTACAAAAGAATTCTTTTATTTTGACGATTGGCTGAAAATCAATATTCAATATACACCTAAGTCTGTTTTTACACGGAGATTGGTTCCAGAAGAATCCGTGTAAAAAAAAAAACGTGTAAAAAAAGACATTGATCTTATACAAAAATGGGTGATTTGTTCCTAATCTCTAAAACCTATTAAAATTGGTGAAAAACAAGAATTTTTAAGAACAAGAATTAAATTAGTGCTATTCACATTTGCTTTGACCAGTAAAAATTGTTTGTACGCGCTAAAGGGGAATTCACTTAAATCTTTAAGCTAGTGTTGGCAAACTATCGATACTATCGATGGTTTCAGACTTTTTTCTTTCATAAATACTTTTTTGTGATATGAACATACTTCGCAAAAATTTAATTTGACAAAAAAAATTTAGGTACATAAAATTTCAAATCGTGCTAAATGGAATAAATTTGTGTAAAAAAATTAAAAATATTCAATTTTCAAACCGTGTTATATCAAAACCGTGTACAAAAAGACCGTGTAAAAACAGACTTAGGTGTATATTAATGTATTGATATATATATATATATATATATATATATATATATATTAGGGTGGTACTTAATATGGACATTTTCGAATTTCCTTGCTCCCAGGGGCTCAAATGGTTCCAAATTGATAAAAAACAATTCTCAGAAAGTTTTAGCTCCTTATATTATCTTTTAGATAGAGCGCAATTCAATCAAAATTTGGAAATAGGATGGAAAAATTTTCAAAAATTTTGCAGAGCGACGAATTTTTAATAAAAAACGACGCGAATTTTCACTTTTAATTCATTTGTCACTAAGTTATACCTAAAAAAAATTTTTTTTAACTTTCAAGATTTTTCCATGCTATTTCCATACGAAGTTTGAATAGCGCACTATCTAAAAGTTAATATTAAGAGCTAAAAATTTAGTTTTTTATCAATTTGGAACCATTTGAGCCCTTGGGAGCAAGGAAATTCGAAAATGTCCATATTAAGGACCAACTTAATATATATATATATATATATATATATATATATATATATATATATATATACATATAGACACATATATTTTCTTATTTGCATGCAGTGCTTTACCCGATTTCAGTTGCCAAATATGCCTTATAATATTTTTATTCTTTCGTAGACATTTGCATACAGTATACTATGGGACTTACAGTTTTTACTGAGAAACTTGGCGCTTATTGGAGCACTTCTTCTTGTACTTGCTGAATCTCGAGTGGAAGGAAGAAGTCTTTTTGCTGGAATTCCTACTATGGGTGATTCAAGGCCAAAAAATTATTTACAACTGGCTGGCAGAATTTTACTAGCTTTCATGTTTATTACATTAATTCGTTTTGAATTAAGTTTTTTACAGGTAAGATTTCTTGTTTGATTTGTTTTTGTTTTAATATAATAATTGATTCATTAAGTTTATTATGTTCCACATAACCATACAACCTCTATTCTAACTGAAATTGAATTTTAAATAAAATATACTGCATAATAAGAAGTTTGAACAATCTTATAAATAAAATAAGAAATCTAAATAAATAAAATAAAAATCTAATACTATAAATAGTAATTATAGAAATGTTGCAGTAGAAAACATGCTGGAATTTGAATTTAAGTTAATATTTTATTCAAAACTGAAGTAGAAGCAAACAATTTTGACTTAGTTTTTAATATATTGGAAGCAACATGTGATTTTAAGACACAAATAATTATTGAGTAACAGTTTTTCTGTTTTCGTTATTTATGAGAAATATAGTAATTTTATCATTATTAATAATTCTTTGTACTATTTTTTAACTGTTTTTTTTTGTAATTATTATTCATTACAGGTTATACAAGATTTAATTGGATCTGTTTTAATGGTATTGGTAACCATTGGTTATAAAACAAAATTATCAGCTCTGATTTTAGTTCTACTTCTTTCATTTTTAAATTTATACCACAATGCTTGGTGGACAGTGCCTACCTATAAGCCATTAAGAGATTTTCTCAAATATGATTTCTTTCAAGTAAGTTAAAATCATTTTATTAAATTTGAAATGAAGTCAAATATATTTAAAAAAAAAATATATAATTTTGATTGTGGTAAAATTATTGAAGCTCAAGCAAATCCTATTATAGTATATTTCACTTGTTTTATTTCATGTAGATGATATATTTGTTACTCATTGAAACATTCTTCATGTAACGAAAGTATTTTTAGCAGACATTTAAATGACTATTTTTAATTATTTGCAACATTATAGATCACTTAAACTTTATACTTAAAAAAAATATTTTATATTATAGACATTGTCTGTGATTGGAGGTCTTCTTATGATTGTTTCCTTGGGCCCAGGTGGAGTTTCGATGGATGAACATAAAAAAGAGTGGTAGAAAAATTCAGGAATATTTGTGCCGTGTGCTAGTATTAAGCAATTTATATATATATATATATATATATATACATATACATATATATATATATATATATATATATATATATATATATATATGCAGAAACTTTATTCCGTATGTTTCTATTGGTTTTTTTTTTTCAATATTTAAAGTGAAGCAATTGTGTTCTTTGGAAGATGCCATAAAAATGGATTTATTTTTATAGAAATTTATTATGTAATATAGAATATGCTGAAAATTGAGTTCAGCTCATTTATATCAATTTTTGAACAAATATGGGTCGTTTGAATATATATATATATATATATATATATATATATATATATATATCTTATTGTAATTTTAGTAAACCTTTAATATTTCAATTCTTATGTATACTTTTTATGGTTGTATGTAAATTTCAAAGTGGTTATGTATATGATTACATTTTATTAAATTTGTTTTATATGAAAATAATAGAGCATTAATTGTGTTACATAATATATTTTTCTGAATATTTTACAACTAGTATAAAAATATTTATATTTAAAAATTTCATATAAAAAAAAGACTATTCAAATTATTTAGACATGACACGTTTGTGATGTTTTGAAACTTATTTTATCTTACTCAATTTGGTATTATAATTACATTCAAATAAAACGATATTTCATTATTATAAATAACATTCATAATTTGATAATCCATTTAATAACATGTTTTTTTTTTAAATATAAAACAAAGAAACATTTCCAATGTTCATAAAATTCTTAACTTAAATATTATATTCAAATATTAATAAATAATAAACTTATATATTTTACCCATCTATTATAAAAAAGATACGCTGATAGCGTTCTCATATGCTACCTCTTCTCTGCTGGGTGATATAGAAATTATATCTCTATTTTCATAAGCAGAAGTTAATTCATTTTCTATGCTATCATCAGATGTTGGTCGGTGAGGTATTGGGAGACCAATTATAGATCGTATGGTATCAGTCAACTGAGATGCAGATACTATTTGATGATAAATTCCTTCCGCCTTGCACAGACATTCTTGCAAGTTTATGTTTTGAGATAAATCATTTATATGCTACAAAAAAAAAAAAATATATATATATATCATCATATTTTTTCAGTGTATTCAGGATGTAATGTTATTATACTTTTCTTATGTTACAAATTTAACATCTAATGATATTACTTATTTATATTACTAAAATAATATGAACAATTTTCGAAACTATTAATAAAGATTAAACTTGAGGTTCAATTTTATAATGCAAATGTGTAGCAGATTTTTCAATACCTACTTTTAATATTTCAGTAAAACCATATCCTTTTCCAATTAGCGTTGACTTTTCAGAATCTAGTAGGGCGATACAAATTAATAAATGAAAATTTTTGCATGGCAGATCGGTCCAAATTATTTCCCATAAATTCATGATATCCAGCTGTGAAAATTCTCTTTTAAACAAAACTAATAACCATCGAAAACAGAAAAACATATTTCCACTTTCATGATTATCCAAGTATGTAGCCAATTCAGGATCACAAAATGATAATAACAAATGCAATTGTTGTAATTGGTTCTTCATACCAGCCTGATCCATATCAAAATTTGATGCAACTTTATCCATAAAACCAACAAAACACCAAAAAGCATCAACTTCATTTTCCATTAAGAATAATATTGGCGACAACAGATCACTCATCCCTTGAACATAACCCAAGTCAAAATTATACATAACATACGTCATTAGGATTTCAAATAATGAATAAATGTTAGGGTTATTATCTCCTTCATAAAAAGGACAAGTTCTATCAGTACGATTAACATCCTTATCAATGAGATTTTTTCGAGTTTGAAAATCCATAAATCTATTTTCTTGACTGCTGGTCATTGATTTCCACTGCAGTTTCATAACAAAGTATTCATTTGTTTTCTGTTTAACTTTTTCTAGACGTTCCGCATAAGTATCATTCCAATTATAGTATCCCAAGAGATATTTCCACACTTCACTTCTTATATCGGGATGAACACCCTGAAAGTAAATGTTTCAACTAATACTTTGAACAATTAAAAGTATTTTTAAAAAATCATACTCCTCTAAATATTATTTGTTTCACTCCTTCAACCTCCAGTATTCTTCCATTGATATCTTTAAGTCCTGCCCATTGTTCTGGAGATAATGGATTACCTCTAATAATGTGAAGATCATTAAAAGTGTAAATTAATGATTAGAAAAACAATACAAATCTCATTAAAAAAAATATTCTATTGCTAAAAATGACAAATAAATTAGCAGTTCTTTTTGTGAGGTGTCAAGGTTTCTTTCTTTTTAATTCAATATTTAGTTATTAACTAAATTTCAAATTCAGTTCTTCTAAAATTTGTTACAAAATACATGGAGACAATCTATAGTTCCATAATCAATTAAATGTAGAAAAAACCAAAGCATTTTATATTGAATTTAATAAGAAGCATAAGGTGTGAACTTCTATATTTTAAGTTGAATAGTATATTAGTAGTACTAAAACTATTTTGAAACACCTTCATGTGATTAGAAAATACTATGCTGTAATTTAAACTATATATTTTTTTAAACAGTATATTTTGAAGTTCATAAATCCAATATAATATTAGATTGTTAATAAGTACAAAATACAATGTCATAATTTAAATGTAGAATAATTGCATAATCACATAAATATTTACCTGTGGATTTTAATACGAGGAGGTAGAACTGATACTTTTCCTATAACTTCATACTCATCTGAAGTGTGAGTTGTAGCTTCATCAATTGCAGTCATACTCTTTGTAATCAAATCTGCAACTTCCTCATAGTACCTATTCATTGGAAAAATAATTGTTAAATTTTCATTGGGAATACATTATATTATACTCTCACTTAACCTCGTTCCATGATGCGGGTCAGTTCCATTGAAAACAAAATCACTCAATTTAGAAAATGCCTCCAAGGCGGTTTCATAAGGCCTAGATTGTAAATTTTTCACAAATTTCCATACAACATCACCGGTATCCTCACTGAATATATCTAATTCAGTAAATGATTTATCTATCACTTCTAGAACAGGATCATTTAGAATCAAATATAAACTTTTATCTGATTTAGATTTAACAGTTTTAATTTTCGACTTCAGCAGATTTAGAAAATTATCACCATTGGCATGTTGGAAAAAGAATGAACTATGTTTTGTATTGTTATTTTCAATGAAAGACATCTCTCGATTGTTACGTGATAATTTGAAACCTTTCATGTCTTTCAAATTCAGACGTACAACTCTTGTTTTGTTAATACCTTCTGCTGGTACTAGTGTACCACTAATGGTTCTCATACGTTTACCTGAAATTACATTTAAACAATTTGTACATTATAGTAAACATCATTGCATGCATAAGCATGTAAATGAATAATTTTGATCTGTACAATTTTCAGTTTGTATAAAACGTGATAAACTTATTAAACATATTCATTGATAATGATATAAAAACTTCATGATATTCACCTATAGTATTGACCATTGCCCACTCTTGATCTTGCATTTCGGAATCGACCAAAATATCAACAGGTCTCCATTCTATGCATCGTGCGTTGTTGTTGTATTCCACAAAACATAATGTACCATTTGTATTCAAGTCAGCAATATGCGTACTACTTGCTGTCTGGAGCAAAACACCATCTTGTGTAAAGATGTCCTAAAATATTAAATAATATAGAAGGTCACCATCTAAAACCCTAAAGGATAATTTATGTTACTTTTCCATTTTCGTAAATGTCATCCATTGCTTATGGTTCATTTAAGAAACGAGCTTTATTCGGTTTTTGTATATATGCGAACTAAATGTCAAACAATTTTCACTACTTAATTATCATATCATTGGTCCGCTTTAGAACTCATCTGTTCTGTCAAATGACGAAATGTTTTGTTGTGACATTCAACTTTAACTCTTGCAATTTCTATTGCCAACTATATCAATGGCACCAACATTAAGGTGCGTCCACACCTAACGAACGAACATGAACGAACATAAAAGAACGTACCAGAACGAACAACAACAGCATAGTGTGGACGCCACAACGATCACGAACGAACATAAACAAACATGGCGAGCAATGTTCCGCAACTTGTCGGGAATTGTTCGTTCATGTTTGAACTCGTATGTGCAGTGTGGACGCTACCACGAATGTAGACAAACATTTTTCTTTTTTGATGTTAAAATGTGCAGCCCTGCATTAGTTTATTTTGTGTTTATTATAAGAAATTGCTGTTATTGACAAATTTTGTAAATTTGATGACTTTAAATAATTTTGCTCTTTCCCGCCACTTTAAATAATAAATCTGACGTTTCACGGTACATCCTCGAACAAAAAGATTCAAGCCCTCACTGCTTTGAGGCGTTTGTTTGGAATTTTTCGCGTTCGTTCGTGTTCCTGTTCGTTCTTCTTTGTATTTTCTTGTTCGACATGTTCGTTCGTGTTCGTTCGTTAGGTGTGGACGCACCTTTAGTAAGTTCGAAGAGGAGTTGGGGCAAAAAAGCTTATTCATTTGGTTATTCAGAAAAGATGAACTTTTTTATAAACACAAATAAATTCTCCCAATTAGACTACGACATTAGAGAACATCAGAAGCACCAATATTATTTACTGCAGCATTCCATACAAAATATTGAAGAGTATGCTTATTTATCTATGGTTATATTATTATTTTGCCATGCTTATTTATCTGTGATAGCAAATTATATGCTTATTTTGTGTGATAGCAACCATAGATAAGTAAGCATAAATATGATAGCAACTGTCATGCGACCGCCATGCACAAAGTGCTCTTCGCGATAATATTAGAGGAGTGTCCAATCCTTGCCTAATTTATATTTATAGTCGTTGGTATTGTTCAAAGCATTCATTTTACGAATAACCTCTGATCAAACTACCTTACTTTTTATCTTGTATCTTGCAAAACCTTGTGTTAATGTCATGTTTTACTAACTTCCGTTCCTTTTAATATAAATTATTATATTTCTTTTGAGGTTTCAAGTCAGATAAAAGTGTTAACGGTTAAAAAAATATAAATGCAAAAATGAGCAGCGATGAGGCTCCCAGTGGTCCTGTAGACAATGCATGGTCTATGAAATTGCCAGAATTTAAACCTGAAGACAATCCACATCAGCTTTTAGAAGAAAGTGCTTTTGCCACATTGTTTCCACGATATAGGGAGCAATATCTAAAAAAATGTTGGCCTTTAGTTCAAAAATCTTTAGGAGAACATGGAGTTAAGGCTGAATTAGATCTTATAGAAGGCAGTATGACAGTTAGGACTACACGTAAAATGTGGGATCCCTATATAATTATTAAAGCGCGAGATGTAATTAAATTACTTTCACGTAGTGTTCCTTATGAACAAGCTGTAAGAGTTTTGCAAGACGACATTGGTGCTGATATTATTAAAATAGGATCTTTTGTAAGAAATAAAGAAAAATTTGCAAGGCGTCGCCAAAGATTGATTGGCCCAAATGGGTGCACACTTAAATCTATTGAATTATTAACAAATTGCTATGTTTTGGTACAAGGACAAACTGTAGCAGCCCTTGGCCCTTATAAAGGCTTGCAACAAGTTCGAAAAATAGCAGAAGAAACTATGAAGAATATTCACCCAATATATAATATTAAAGCTTTGATGATCAAGAGAGAATTAATGAAAGATCCCAAATTGAAGGATGAAAATTGGGAGAGATTTTTACCGAAGTTTGCCAGTAAAAACCTCAGTAAAAGAAAACAACCCAAAAATAAGAAAACCAAAAAGCCTTATACTCCTTTCCCGCCTCCACAACCTGAAAGCAAGATTGATAAACAATTGGCCAGTGGAGAATACTTTCTTAAAGATGATCAGAAAAAAGCTAGAATGCACAAAGCTAAAGAAGAAAAGCACACTCAAGCTGCTAAGAAGAGAGAAGCGATTCGTGAAAAATCATTTATTGCTCCTGAAGAAACTAAAAAAGTGAAAGAAACAAAGGAAGCAACTGTAGATGTGAAATCATTGAAAAATAAAGTTAAAAAAGCTGTTAAATTTGTAAATAAGAAATAAGATTGTACACATTGTTACTAAATTAATGTGAAATATTCATAATTATTAACTGATTGTATTATTATTGCAATGAGAGTTTATTTTATAGTTTATATAATGCTAATATACATATTTTCTTAATTACAATTTCAATGTTTTATCATGGTTTTACCTATTTTATCAAATATTTATGCATGCATCCATGCATTTCTTAACATTGATCTGGTCTAATTAAAATTGAATAATTTAACTTGAATAATATTAATTCACATTACACATGCCAAATGTTACATATTTTCCCATTATATTTGAAATTTAGAAGCAGTATTTATAAAATTATTTACCTTGTATCTGCGGGTGAAGCACAATATCTATAACATTTGGAGTATTATTCAGTGGTAAAAAAATTGCTGTTTAATGGTGCTGATCTTCATTTTTCCAGGATGTTATTGTCATTATAAAAAGTTATACCAATTAATTTCATACTAAAATTTAGGTTTTTTCAAAAAGTGGAGTAATGTATACTCTGAGCGGCTCATATTTAAATCAGAACTAAATATAGAACTAAATTCAAAAACTGTGTTCAATTTTTTATTCAACAAATATAAATATAATTATATTAAAAATATATTTCCAATTACAATAAATCTTAAGTAATAACATTAGTGTTATCATGCCTGTTTAGCATGATTGAGATTAGCACTTCTTGGGTCATTGATATTTAAATGTTTACAATCTATAAAAATATCAGACAAGCGTAGCACTTCTTCAGACTGTCTAACTTTTTCCAGATTTTTAATCCCATTAGCATCAGCATCAAACTGTAATTTTCGACCTAATGGTTTATCCTTTCCCTTGTCTATAATTGTAGATTCAGTAAATGTTGTAGAATCACTATGAGTAACATCCACCACTTTCTTATGTTGTTTCATTAAACAGCAGCCTTTTCCCAGTATTACCAAGCTAATTAATGTGTGAGAAAGCATCAAAAGTATAAAAACTAAGAGTATAATTATTAATGATGGCAATCCATCCATAAATATTGCATGAGCAAGAACTCGAACCATAACAATAACCAATGGCAATGGAATAAACCCCATGCGTCTTGCTACTAAATCTGTATGATCAGAAAAAGCACTTTTTCTGCGCATCAACACTGTATCATATGCTAAACTTGTAATATAGTCACTGTACACATTAACTGATAAATCATTGAATCTGGTTATAAACGCATGTTTTATCCAGTCAACTACAACTTCTGCTGCTAATACTACTACACAATCTGGTAACAATACCCAAAATCGATCTTCTTCCCAACTATATTCCTTCATTGTTTGAAGCATAACAATAAACAGCAAAGTAAAAAGATTAAACCTTTCTCTAACATCTGTGCAGGCAACTTGGAAGAAACTCTTTTTATCAAACTTCTTGAAAACGCTTCCCTTCAATTCTACAAACTGACAAAAGATGATTGTTTAATTTGATAATTTGAAACTTTATAGGTTGCGTACATTAATAACTATTATTATATTAAATTCAAAGATAAAAAGCAATATACCAACAGTTACAAATTTCAACATAAGCCAACACAAAATAAATGCTTTATTAACATTGCATTATTTTTATATTGCTTGGAACCCCTAAATAAGTATCTATACTTACATTATTTGAGATCATTATAGTCAATAATGATTTGCTGCTGGAGTTAATGGCAACATTTAATGTAGTAGCTTGGAAGAGAACTAGCATACTATGCAAAACTATTATAATAATAAAGAAAATATAGTATTATGCAATTTAACTGAGCGTTGGATTAATTAAAAGGATACACAAATAAGCCAGAGCAAATATTAGATGAGGAATAACTCCTAAATGTCCTCCTTTCTGTTTCTTTCTATTTCCTACAGTAGCAGTCCATAATAATGCATCTATAATATCCTGTCCAAAAGCTGAAAATAGTCTATCTCCAACTTCTAACATATTATAAAATATATATAGTTTTATAACAGACTGGCTCTTGATTAAATGATACATCATATTAATATCAATATAAAACATTAAGTAAGTACAAATCACAAGCATCAACCCTTTATATATATCACATATTTCTGCACTTGTCAACAGTAATTTACTTTTCATTAATCTGCAAAAAATATCATATGTGAAATGAGTAATTGAGCACATATAATTATAATTCTCAAAATTAATGAATTTTAAAAAACCTGCCTCAAATATTTTGAAATCGGCCGTGAAAGCAAAGACAATATTGCTTTTAAAAAACGTATTGGTAAAAATGTGTAAATGTACAGGTAAGAATAAGCACATAAGAAAAATCCATAAGCTGTAAACTTTTCCACTTCTCTAGGAATTTGCATAAAAGAATATACTTTTTCTCGTGCTAAATGCCTGTGTTCATCATTGTCCAATATATATCCCCTATTCAATTCTTCCTTTAAGAAGGAAAGTAGGGACGGGGTCGCTGTTTCAAAAATACAATCATTCATAATATAGATATAAAAAAAATCCATAAATTTAAACATAAACGTTTATGAAGGGTATATTGATATTAGATTACCTAAAACATTCGTCATTATTTATTATAAACTGGAACCATAAACATTTATTATAAATAAGAATCGTCTAAAATTTCGAAACCCATAGTCCTAGAGTAAGTTTTACATTGTACTTCAAAATCTTCAAAAATCTCATTTCAACATAAACTTTGTGATACTGATAAGTATTTGATAGTTTCCAAATACAGTAGGCCCTCGCTTTACACGGCACTCTGGGTACACGGTTCCCATACTACACGGAGCTAAAAATCCGACATCCCTCCGAGTACACGGACTTCTTATTACACGGTATTTGGTCAACAGCCCATAAGTCCGTTGTGCAAAAGGGTATTGTTGTAAATTTTGTTATCGACTTTTATCTTTTAGACATGCCTGATTGTAAAATAGCCGCCTAAGAACACGTTTGAGCTGATTACTGCGTCGCGCCAATTTTTGAATAAGGTGTCAATTTCGTCACGTCATTTACGTCATTTCGTCCGTATTTCTCCTACTTCAAGTTGTATTTCTTGGTCTCCATACAACGCGATAAAAATGGTGCGATTTGTACCAACTCTGAGTCTCTCATAACACGGTTCCCATACTGCACTATGTAAGGTTCCATAGAACGCACTACGAATTAGCCTGAATTGTATGTTAAATACGAGTTTCTTATAGCACGGTTCCTATACTGCACGGTACGCACTTGCCGCGTAAAGCGAGGGTTTACTGTACGTCAAAAAACAATATGTCCAACATTCAAAATAAACGCTCTGCCCACGACGACATAGATAAACAAGTATAAATGGTCAGAACAAAATCCGCGTTCAGAAGGGCTACTTAGGGGTCCAATGGTAGTCGCAAGTTTGGCGCTATGAGCCGATGAAAAAAGAAAAGTCATGCGTCAGTGTTATTTTTGTGTCAGTTAACAAAATGTGTTTCTTTTCTTTGTTTGTGTTTGTAGATTTGTTAGTACATAGTTATTTGTGTGCCTCAAGGCAAATTTCTGGAACTTACCGTACCGTAACAAAATGTTTGAGGTTCGAGGAATATTAAATGCATTGAAATAGATTAATAAATACTTATTTATTTAGAGTATAAAAGTGAGCTTTAGAACTTTAGAATTAAAATTAAAATCTGAATTATTTTTGATATACAAAGAAATATTAAAAAAAAAATTAAAAATTAGGAACAATTTTTTTTCCCAAAAGCAATTCTTTTGTCAAAACAATCTAAACGTTTTTTGAATCATTCAAATCCGATGGTTAGTTTTTTCAAAAACTGCAATTTTTTGCACAATTAGCTTGGTATCTCTAAAACGGCTAGACCTACCTTAGCCAAATATTGAACATAACTTCTCCCAATTATTACAAATTGAATGTTTTTTGGATTATTCAAATCGGATAATATGTTCTCTCAAATTCCCGATATCTATTTTCTGCACTCTTTGCTCCGTATCTCCGCAACGGCTGGACCTGCCTTTGTCAAAAACTAATCAGCACATCTCCCTATCAATAGGAAGCGAATGTTTTTGAACCATTCAAATCGGTTGATCCGTGCGCCCGAAAACGTGGACGAAAATGCGGGTACACAAAACACACACACATCCATTTTTTCTGAGGTATGCCAAAATCATACTCATCTTTTATCGATGGCCAAAATGTTCGGAAACCTTCAAAACGTAAAGATATGCAAAAAATTTAATTTTCGATTTTCGGCCCGTTACTATAATTACCCTACGGAAAGTTAAAAATTTATTATGAATTGCTCTCAAATACATAACCCTTCGACACAATGAATAGAACAGGTTCAAACTCAGATACAGAACATAATTACTACTAATTTTGCACGGGATGATTATTAGTTTATAAGAGTTAAGAAAATGTAATAAAATAACACTATAGTGGATTATTCACTAAATTTCACTAAATGTTTATATTAATAAGTTTAAAAAAGGTGAAGTTATTCCAGTAGATTAGGTATCATGTATACATATATGTATATAGATTTAAAAAGAATATATTTAAACTGCAGTGATTTTGTTGATTTATATTTCGATTCGATTGTATATTTATTATAATATAATATTATCTTGTTAACTTGCCGAAGGAGAAGTTTATGTTTTCATCAAAAAATCCGATTTTCTAATTTTATGTTTTCTCGACGTTTCAAGCCATTCTGAATTGATTGAGACCAAATTTGGAAAAAGTATGTGTGTGCGTGAACAGATTTTTTGCCGTAAATCGACGTTTTCTTAAAAACGGCTGGACCAATTTCAAAAATTTAAAAGCCATTTGATGTATCTCGATGACGATTATTGTTTGTCAGTTTTGTGCGACGATCGGTTAAGCCGTTTCTCACAAATAGCGGAAAAGTGAAAAATTTTTCGTCCACGTTTCAGCCCGCAATTCTGAATCGATTTTAAAAATTCAAAAACCGTTCGAAAGATATTGGTAGGGAATCGTGCTGATTAGTTTTTGGTAGGGATCGGCCGGGCCGTTTTCTTGTAATAACGTGTTGAAAAATTTTTTTCGACGATTTTTATTATTATTTTTTGACGGTAGATACCGTAGTCTCATAGATTATACTAAAATATTACGGCCCTACGACAAGTCGTTTAATTTTAAAAATTCTTCAAAGTTTAGTATCGTTTTTTTGGCATTTCTCAAAAGTAGACCTTTGATCGACGTTTTCTCAAAAACGCCTGAACCAATTTCAGAAATTTAAAAGCCATTTGATGTATCTTAATGAGAACTATCGTTTGTCAGTTTTGTGCGACAATCTGCCAAATTGTTTCTTTGTAATTTGAAAAAAAGTGGTAAACCTTGCGTCCAGATTTAAGCTCATACTACCAAATCAATTTTAAAAAATCAAAAACTATTCGAAATATATTAGTTGGGAATGATACTGATTAGTTTTAGGGGAAAATCTACCGAACCGTTTTCTTGTAATTAACTGTTGAAAAAGAAATTTAAGCCGATTTACTTGGCATAACAATAGAGTACTTGGTCTTAATGAACATACTGAATACTTAAAGTCCAACGGAAACTGGTTCAATTATAAAAATTGTTGATTTTCAAAAAATTGGTTTTTGAAAATACTCCGAGTTAACGTGTTCGTTATGTGTAATAAATCCACTCGGATTACTTTTAATCACTTATAAGTTAATTTATTTTTTATTAATTAAATCGATTATTTATACATTTCGGGAAGTTCATGTAACTTGCCTCAAGGCAAAATACCAATACCAACTAGTATATTTTTGTTATCATTGTATTATTACAAAACATAATACAAGTGTAATACTAAATTCAGTTTCAAATATCCGATTACAATAATTCATTAATTTTTATTTTAAATTTTGCGCCATTAATTTGAATGTCAAAAGCAGCGCTTTCAAGTCTGAGTGTAGGACGCTCTAACTACCCCTTCAGAACGTAAAAATCGGCAGAGATAAACATCTCGTGTGGTCTTGAGACTAGACTTTAGTGTTTAGTGGTCTATGATATGAATAAATCATATTCGGATTGTGTTTTGACGTTTTGACATTGTATGAATGCATTATATTCTAATATTCTAATATTTTCTAATTCTGATTCTAATATTTTCTACAGATTTGACGTTTGAGAAACTAACTTGCGCATGTATAATATGAATATACATATTGGAAATGTGTTATATTAGACACGCCTTCCCTTCTAATTAACAAGCGTAATCGTTTTCACTGTTTTGTCAATTAGTTATACTTCAAAATGGATTTTTTAAAAGCTGAAATTGCAAGAAAACGAAAGCAACTGGAAGACTCAAATATCATAGTAGAACATAAAAAGTATTTTAAACGATCAGATTTATTAGCTAAGGAAAAGGAAGAATATATTAACAATAACATAAGCGAACACCAATCATCTAAAACAGAACAAACTAATTTAAACTCAAATGATTCTTCGTCGTCTTTCAAAACAGAACTAAAAATTTTATCTAGAAGTGAAGTTATTCGGAAACTTAGAGAACGGCGTCAACCAATATTATTATTTGGGGAAACAGAAGAACAAGCATTTCATAGATTACGTCAAAGTGAAATATCAGAACCTGAAATTAATCGCGGTCTGAGAAATGATTTCCAAGCGGCTATGGAGCAAGTTGATCAAGCTATATTAGATGAAATGGTCGAATCTAATTTTTTCAATAACACTAAACATAGTCATCCTGAGGACTACTTATCTGAAGAATCAACCACATATGAAGACATCCAGAAAATGGCAGAAAATTTGGGTACTGGAAATAGAGAGTGTGATATGATAGTCATCATGACATTATTACAATTTTTAATGAAACAATGGTATTTACAGTTAGAAAAAAGCAAAATAAAAAATTTGACTACAAAAGAAAAAATAGCTAGAGCTACGTTTAATCAAACACGAGACTATCTCAGACCTTTACTTAGAAAACTAAAATCAAAATCTTTACCTGATGATATATGCGATAGCCTTTGCGAAATAACAAGGCATTTATTAGATAGAAATTATATCATGGCAAGTGATGCATATTTACAAATGGCTATTGGAAATGCACCATGGCCAATTGGAGTAACCATGGTTGGTATTCATGCACGTACAGGACGAGAAAAAATATTTTCAAAGAATGTTGCTCATGTGATGAATGATGAAACTCAAAGAAAATATATTCAAGGACTAAAAAGGTTAATGACAAAGTGTCAGGAATATTATCCCACAGATCCAAGTCGTTGTGTAGAATATGCTAAGTAATATATTTTAAATTATTTGTTTGGTAAATAAATTATATTTAATTTGAGGTTTCAATTAGAAAAAATCCGTTTTAAATTTTTCTTTGCAATATTACTTCAATACTCCTGAGGTTATAAAATGACTCAATATTTTGTTTAATATGTACACATGTAAACTATTATGTACTATGAACACTATCATGTAAACAAAAATCCCACATTTCTATACATTTCATAATAATTTTGATTTTGTATTTTTTATACTTATTAAAGTATATTATTTAGTTTTTTAAATATTTTATTATATATAGATATTTGTATTTTGTGTGTATCAAGATCAACATGTAATTAACTTTAAGCAAATCAGTCATGATTGAATTTTTGGAAAGGCGGGCCCAGCGGATTTGGAAATCTAGGAAAAAAACTGTGGTTTTTTGTCAGTTGAAAATCTGATATTTTCAACAAATCGACATTAATGGGAATGAAAAAGTTTTTTAAAAAAAATCAATTTATAACCATTTTTAAAAAATATAAGTATTTTCAAGAAAACAATTTTTTTATAATTTTTTTAATATTCAAATTTTTCAAATGTTTTGAATATTTTCAAAAAAATTTAAAGAGCTTTTAAAAATGGTTAATTACGATACGGGAACTTCTAGAATTTGAATAATGGCAGGAATAAATAAACATAATGCCATATGCACCATTATTTTATTTCAATGGTAAGAATAATAGTTATGTATCATTTTATTAGTCATAATGAGTATCACCTATAAAATGAGTTCATATATGTATTATAAATATAATTCATGATATGTATAATAACAATATATTAATATATAATGTTATGAATAGTATGAATATTATGTATATTCTTATATTGTCCATGATGTTGTTACAAACTGTCAACTTATTACTCCTACACAATATAATAATAATGTTATTAATGCTTGTTTTCATAGATAAAAGAAGAGTATATTATTAATCATTATTAATATTCATGAAAAATTAACTTAAGTGTGCAACAATACAATCCTTTGAAATTCACAGGAGGGACAACGTTGGTCAAAAATGCGCAAGATGGTACTACTAGCATGTAGAACTAAAAGATATATTTTTGCTGAGTAGCTCTGTGGCGCAAATTTATTTTACGGATTGACTTTATTCAATTGATATTACTATGCACGTTTATTTAAAAAAGTAGTTCTGCATGCTTTTATTTTTTGATGCAATAAAAAATAACTTAGTCAATTTTCGAAACGATTATTGATTGATGCATAACATTCGTGACAGTTGATGCGCAAATGCATAACCATATCAAGTGAACCTTTTGAACTCGAAGTATTTTATGTCGCGTTTTTGTATGTGCTATAATTTACATGTTGATTATTGAATCTTGGTCTTCCATTTATTTGAAAATAAAATTCATATCTTAGTTATTTAATAATAATAACCTCAAAGTTTATGACAGCCAGTTTCATAACATTGCTAGTGGTAGAGATTATTAGTTAGGTTTTATCAGATAGTGCACCTCTTAATAATCTGACAGCAGAAAAAATAACAAAATATGTGAGTGGCCAATAACGTGTTTTATTGTGTAATAGCATTTTAAAAATTTGCAATTATTTTTATTTAGTTATAAATAGACTTGAATGCTTGAACACTAGACGAATTGGCATGTAGTTTGAATTTGTGTTGTAAACCTAAATTTTATATATTTTAAAACTTTCATTTGTATGATTATATATACGTATAATTTATTAACATACGCTACTATTATTAAATAAGTGCGTTAATAGTTATTTGCGGTTATTTAAAATCATGTTTGTTATAAAAAGCGTAATTCTACCCACCCAGTAAACCACAAAACGTAATGAAAACGTTAATAGAACGTAACAGATTATACGTAAAACATAACGGTTACGTAACCTAAGAGGCACACAGACGTATCTATTTCCGCCTCAAAAACGTAACGGCCTGTTTAGTTACGCGAAAACATAACGGTTTCGTTTATGTAACGTTTCCAAATTGCGCGAAAACGTAACGGTTTCGTTTTTGTTAGGTTTCTAAATTACTAAATTAACGTGTAGGTGTCTTTGATGTAACTTAAAAATTTAATAAAATTTCCTGTAAATATAGAAACCATTTTTTATATTAATTTTATTTCATATTATAATTAAGAATTTACAAAATTTACATAACATATACTTAAAATTACAAAACTACAGAATATAAATTTGGATTTTAAAAATTTGATTAATCTAAAACAAAAAATAACAATTCTAACAAATTTCTATTTAACAGGATGGAATTAAATGTTTTATTTTGATTATAAAATTTTAACCATTGAAAATAAGTCTTGTGTAAAATTCTTGGCAACCTTTGTTTATCAAATTGAAACCATTTCACTGCTTTCTGTTTGTAAATGTATCTAAAACAGAACCAAACAGGTTAGAAACAATTTCTACAAATTGTTTATTGATAATATTGATTTAAATTTTTTGTAACATTACCTCTAAAAATATTCATTATTTTCAAGTTATTGACAGCTAGGCAGTCCTTTCAACAATACCAAAAACATATTAATTCTTCATCGAATTACACTTTAGACAATAAAGAAGATTTTAGTCTCTGAATTTTTAAATATATTTTTGCTGAAGTAAAAACAATAGAAGGTTATGATTTGGAAATATTGTGATTATTATTATAAATTGTAACAATACTTCTAATTACCTCTATTTACTTTCATTATTTATTAAGAACAAAGTGCAGCTAATTCCTTTATGAACGTATTGCTCAAATATTGTCTTAATTGTTTCTTGTCAGTTCAGCCAAATTTCATCCACCGACTTTTAAATCATATTTTTGCTAAAACTAAATCATAAAAAATTAATACTAAATCATCTAATCATCTCTAACTATCATAATGGGGTATACCAATTCCATGACACATGACACGAGTGTCATCATTTAATGCTGTAAAAAATTTTATTCTTCTTCAAATCATTTTTTCGTGATGATGGTGGATTATTATTTTATATTCTAACTTTGCATTCATATTCTTTATTTGAGCAAATATCTTTATTATGTTCTGAGTCATTATATTTCTTCAATTGAAAACCATTGTATTAGTTTTTATTCCTGTTTAGCCGAACTATATTATTGTTACTGAAGGGGCTACAAATATTAAATTTGTATTTGTATATCTCATTTTTACTAACCTTTTGACTCAACATTGCAATAATCATTGAGGTTATGATTTTTTTGTAGAATTTAATCATTATTTGATAAACATACATTTGATGAAAACATCTACAAATAACAAAATACGCGAATAGAATTTCCATTAAGGTCCAACTATATACTGAAAAAAAAAATCATTATTATAATAATATATAAATTAAAATAATTTACACATGTTTTATATTTATACTTACCTTGATCGATTCCATTTTAAACATTTTAACTGCACACTGCATAACTAATACGTTCTACATTAATCATATAAAATATTAATCATATAAATAATGATTAAATAAATGCTTCAAAAGAATGAAATAATTTGCTTGTCAAAAGATCTTCAATATGAAGCGTCCATTAGAGCCATTAGTCATAGACAGAAAAGTAAAATATATAGAGTCACGAATAACTTTCAATTGTATTTTCGTGCATAGAGTCTCGCATACATAAAAGAGTAGAACACGTAACCTATCTTTTTGACAGTTTTGTGAAACAGCTGTACCACACCGTCCATTTTGTATGTTAAACTTACAATACACTGTAACTGAACGGTTACGTTATGAAGAAAACCATGCATTAACGTTTAAAGGTTACAATTAAACGTAACATTTACGTTTTATTAACGTAACCATAAAATACATAACAACGTTTCTTCTGTGCTACGTTACTTTAACTTTATGTTACGTTTGTGGTTTACTGGGCATTAATCTTAATTATATACTCTTGCTATATCAGCAAGTTATCATTATATAAGAAAAATTATTTAACATAACATTTATAAATATTCAAACTCTTATTATATCAAAATTCAATATAAAAAACATTGTTCCAAATTAAAATTAATAGAATTTTCTCTCAGATTAACTTTTATTTGATTATTAGACTCAAATATTTGAATTTGATAAATATTTTATCAAATTCAAATATTTGAGTCCAAATATTATATATAATATTTATCAAATTCAATTATTTGAGTCCAATAATCAAATAAAAGTCAATCTGAGAAAAAATTCTATTAATTTTAATTTACAGCAGTTTGTTTTTTTTTTGATTTGTAGCCAAATTTAAATATTATTATTAACTTCCCGTAGGGTAAGTTATTGTAATGGGCCGAAAATCGAAATTGAAATTTTTTACATTTCTCGACGTTTTGAAGATTTCTGAACATTTTGGCAACCTCAGAAAAAATGGATGTGTGTGTGTATGTATGTATGGATACAAATTTCCAGTCACGTTTTCGGGCGCACGGATCATCCGATTTGAATGGTTTAAAAAACATTCGATTCCTATTAATAGGGAAAAGAGCTGATTAGTTTTTGGCAAAGGCAGGTCCAGCCGTTACGGAGATACGGAGCAAAGAGTGCAGAAAATAGAAATCGAGTTTTTGAGAGAACGAAGTATCCGATTTGAATGATCTAAAAAACATTCAATTAGTAATGATTGGGAAAAGTGTTTATTAGTTTTTGGCAGAGGCAGGCCCAGCCATTTCGAAGATACGGAGCTAAATGTGCAAAAAATGGCAGTTTTTGAGAGAACTAAGCGACCGATTTAAATGATTCAAAGAACTTTCTGCTTGTCTTAACAAAATAATTGATTTTGGAAAAAAAAATTTTTTTTCAACTTTTTTTTTTCATTTTTTTTTTCGAAAATAATTCAGATTTTATTTTTAATTCTGACTATGATTCTAATATACTTTAAACAAATAATTTCAACTTTGCAATTTGGTTATATAATTCTTATAAATATTAGACAATGTTACAATATTTATAATAATCTATTTGAAAACATTCAGTAATACTCGAACATTTCGTTACGGTACGGGAAGTTCCAGCAATTTGCCTTAAGGCACGATGCCATACACCCCACTAGTTTAATTTTGTTATTATATTAAATACTATTAGATTTTATAGATGCAAATTAAATGTTTTTTGCCTTGAAAAAAAAAAAAACTGTTCGTTTTATATAAGTTTCACCCATCTAATGCAATTTAAGTGTTCTGTTCTTATGTAAAGTATAATTCATAAATATGATGTAATTGCAAATATGATGTAATATAAATACTATAAAGTTTACAATGACACATAAAAAATAACTAGTGGGGTATATGGCATGGTGCCTTAAGGCAAATTGCTGGAACTTCCCGTACCGTAACGAAAATGTTCGAGGAATATTGAATGTTTTCAAATAGATTATTATAAATATTGTAATATTATCTAATATTTACAAGAATTAAATAAACTGAATTGCAAAGTTGAAATTATTTGTTTAAAGTATATTAGAACTATAGTCAGAATTAAAAATAGAATCTGAATTATTTTCGAAAAAAAAAGAGAAATTTTTTTTTTTCAAAATCAATTATTTTGTTAAAACCAGCAGAAAGTTCTTTGAATCATTTAAATCGGACGCTTAGTTCTCTCAAAAACTGCCATTTTTTACACATTTAGCCTTATATCTTCGAAATGGCTGGGCCTGCCTTTGCCCAAAACTAATCACCTCTTCTCCCAATCATTACAAATTGAATGTTTCTTAGATCATTCAAATCGGATGCTCCGTTCTCTCAAAAACTCGATTTCTATTTTCTGCACTCTTTGCTCTTTATCTCCGTAACTGCTGGATTTGCCTTTGCCAAAAACTAATCAGCACATCTCCCTATCAATAGGAATCGAATGTTTTTTGAACCATTAAAATCGGTTGATCCGTACGCCCGAAAACGTGGTCGAAAAATTGTATCCATACATACATACACACACACATCCATTTCTTCTGAAGTATGCCAAAATGTTCAGAAACCTTCAAAACGTCGAGAAATATAAAAATTTTCAATTTCGATTTTTGGCCCATTACAATAACTTACCCTAAGGGAAGTTAAAAATTATAAAATTAATTACTTGATAATTTTGCAGATTACTTTAGTTAAATTTTAAATTTTACGAAATAAGTGTGAACAAATATATACTTTATATCTTCTAAATTTTCCAATATAAAGAAAACTGCAAAACTCGTTTACTTATATAATTTTTCATATATACAAGGTCTCCCAGCCGAAACAGAGCTTGATTGACTGACCTTGAACTTGAACTAGCTTGAAAATAATTAGAAAAAAAAATTATCTCACGTTGTTTCGAAATTATGATCTTTTAAGTACAGCCTAGAGCTTTGGTGAAACAATCGCAATTTTTCGGTTACTGTAGTTAATTTTTACTAATTTTATTCATTTAAACTTTGGAACCATAATCGTGAATACATTTCTAGGATAACAATCAAAAAAGATAATACAATTGCCCCAAGTTTTCAAGAATTAAAACTATTATTTAAATTTTTTAAATTCG